GGGTGCCTGGCCAGCCTGGGTGAGGGGCTGATGGCTGTTTTCAGGCTGGCCCCACGCCCTTTAGGGTGGGGGGTCCCCACTGGGGTGCCTGGCCAGTCTGGGTGAGGGGCTGAGGCCCGTTTTCAGGCTGGCCAAGCCCCCCGGTGACGGAAGCTCCCAGCCTCTCCTTTTTTAAATTTTTTTTTATTCTGGGATTTATTTACCTTCTATAATTGAAACTTTGTAGCCTTGAGTGGAGCTCAGAGCCGGCCAGGGCAGGCGGGAAGCTTGGCTTCCTCCTACACTGGGCACCCAAGCCTCCTGCTCGCTCCAGCTCCGTAGCTGCCGGCTGTCATCTTGGTTGGGTTAATTTGCATATAGTCGCTCTGATTGGTGGGTGGGCATGGCTTAAGGTGTAGTGAAGGTATGGTCAACTTGCATGTTTGCCTTTTATTAGTGTAGATATTAGAGTAAAAGGCAACAAAATAATCAAATTTTTATTTTCCATGCTGTGGAAATAGCTCAGGGGTTATTAATTAACATATATATGAAAGTTACACTTTGGCATGTTAAGTCAATTCTGACTATTGGTACAATGTGTATGAGTGGGTTATTCAAAAGTCAATCAGAGCCCTGACCCTGGAGTGGGGAATGTGGTAGACATGAGCAGAGCAAGGATGATGGGCCAGGTATAGAAGTTCCCCTGGGCAGAAATCCCCAGGTACCTGGCAATGGGCAAAACTAGGAAAACAAGGACCTGCCTCAGGGTGACCTTTCCTCCCCTGGAGTGTCTCTGGTCATGGGTTTAGACTCCCTGACCCTTCACATTGATGGTCATGCGGTTCGGACCCTCCCCTGACCTTTCCTCCCCTGGCATGCCGCTAGTCATGTGATAGACCCCCTTAGAGGAGGGACAAAGGGCTGAAGAGTGGCCTCATGCGACTCCCATGCAGGGCCTTGCACAACCACTCCCTTAAGCACTAACTCCTTAGCGATAATGTCTAGGCCTCAGTTGCATGCCAGGGCTGACATCAGGACCAGCTGCAAGGATTAATGGTCCCCTGCCCTGGCGCCCACCAATCAGTGGAGACCACAGCCCTGAAAGGACACACCTGGAAAGCTGATGAATATTCTATTGAGATCTGTCGCTAGACCTCCCCTCAGATCTCCACCTTTAAAACCCTCAAGACAGAGCACCTAGCTCATTCTTTTGCTCCCTAGAGCACGCCCATGGAGTCTTTTTTTAAGTGTACTTTGCTTTCTTTCTCTTGATTTTCAAGGGCCCTTCTTTTGCTTCTCTGCCTTGTTTCCTGAGCCCAGTTCTTCTAAAGCTCACATCATCTACCTCTGTAACTTTTTAAAGAAGCTTTCTCTTATAAAAAAAACACACCAAAAAGTGAGGTTACAGGTTGTATCCCCAGCCCTATTTGGGGCACGTGCAAGGGCAACCGATTGATGTTTTGCTCTCACATCGATGTTTTTCTCTCCCTTTCCCACTCTCTAAAAAACAAAACAAAACAAGTCAAAAGTACTAATGTCAAAGATTGTCTAAATGTGTGTGTTTTGATTAAAATTTGGACCATGCTCTATTTAGGTCTCCCCTCCTGGTTTAGTTTAGTATTCTTTTGTTTCCCATGTCATAAACTATGAGCCTTTTTCCTTGCCATTAAAGGATTTGAAAATATGATTTTCTTAGTTGCATAATATGTCATCATTACTTTGCTTAAACATTTCCCAGATGCTCATTTTCTTTTGAGGAAACCCAATAAAGTCCCTTGTAAATGGAATCCTCTCCCCTCCCCCCACCTCATTTGACTCCCATGTGGGTGTGGCTCAGTGGTTGAACCAGGGGGTCTGGGTTCCATTCCCGGTCAGGGCATGTGTCTGGGTTGTGGGCTCGATCCCCGGTGGGGGTGTGTGCGGGTTGATGTCTCTCTCTCATCAATGCGTCTATCTCTCTATCTCTCTCCCTTCCTCTCTCTCTCAAATTAATAAAAACATTAAAGAAAAGAATAAAAGAAACAAGAAACAAATTAAATGGGAACCTCCCTTGTTACATTTATAATACTAGGTTACTAAAGTTTCGGAGGCATAATTCTAATAGGCTTCTTTCACTTGTGGAGGTCAGGGTGGCGGAAATAAAAACATTTAGAAAGAAGCTAAAGGCAGCCAGATGTAGTTTTCTTATTAGAGGATAGAAATGGGTTCCAAAGAATTTTCACTTTGGCTTTCTATGAGTTGGAATGTTATGCTCCTATTAAAGGACTTCTAGAGTGTTCAGGTCTGGAGATGTGATTTGATTCACAGCAAGGTCACAGTAGCCCATGTTTTTAACTTCCCAAAGACATATGGGGAGCCATATTAAATCTTGGACCTGTGCCTTCTGGGTCCCCTGACTATTCTCGTGTGCACCTGAATAGATATTAAAACGTAATAAAGCAGAATCCCACCTTCTGTAGCCTCAGTGGATTCATGTCTTCTGTACCCCATAGGTGCTTTGGCCATTTACGTTTGGTGTATTCTGTGACCCTTCCCCGCTAGGCTCAGTCCAGGAGGTGGCTCAGCTCCGGCTCCAGCTGCAGCAAGCTCAGAAGGCACATGCTATGAGTGAAAGCATGAACAGGGCTTTGCAGGTGAGCGTGGCCCCTTGGAAGAGACGGTGGGTGGCTGGATTACATCACCTTTCTGAACCTTGGATTTCTCTACATCAAAAAGGCAGTGGACCATCTCCAAAGCAGCCCGTCAGAGTTGTTCACAGGCTCGCCCCTATGGCTGGGGAATCAAGCCCAGGGGCCTGTCTGTGTGTGTGCCCCGAGAGAAAAGGTTGTCTACAGGCATGAAAACCTACAGCGCAGCTGGGGTGCTATCACCTCCTCCTCCGGCGCCGCTGACATTTCCTGCTGGAGGTAGCGGTCCAGGGGACCCTCCACTGGAGAGAGGTGGTTTGCCTTTTCGCTGCTGGCAGACCATGAAGGACAGCTGTTGCTGGGAAACCAGTCTACTCTGTCTCCCGCTCTAGTGAGCCAAAAAGTGCTGCCACCGGTACCTCAGCTCCAGGGGTACTTTTCATGGAAGAGAACAGAATGTGAGGGAGGTGTGAGAGAACCGACTTGCATGTTCTTCCTCATGTATTCGTTCCTCCATTCAGTTTGCTGGAAAACCTGATCCGCGCTGGCCTTTGTAAAGTTATAGTTAACGTGTGCTAACATGTATTTGAAGAAGCGTTTCTGCCTTCTCTTGACCATTAAAATGAATCTGAAGCATAGACAAAATGCCTGATTCCTTCTTATAGGAAAACCATGAAAATAACTTTTAATAATTTTGTGTTGTAGGAAGAATTAACAGAACTAAAAGATGAAATTTCTCTCTATGAATCTGCTGCAAGACTAGGAATACTTCCAAGTGACTCAGAAGGAGAATTAAACGCAGAACTCATGGAATCATACGTGGATTTGGGTATTAAAAAAGCCAACTGGAAGAAATCCGAAGTTAAGAGGTATGGAGAAAATAGTTTACTGTAGAAGAGTCTGCATTATTAATGCTGATGAGGCTTGGTAAACAAGTGGCACCAGGCATGAGATGATGAGCTGACCAGGGGTCCCAGTATGTTTTAGTAATATCTGATGAAGTGCAAACGTCTGATATCAAAATGAACAGAAACCTCAAGAACTGATATTGCGCTATCTTCAGCACCAATAGGCACATCAGTTTTAGTAAGGTAAAAAAATGACTAATCTAGCTAAAATATTCAAAGTAAATTCTACAGTTGAGGTTATGGATCTGTTTTACTATTAAGGCGAAGCATATTATTTTTATTATATTAACACTGTTGAAGGCAGGCGTCTGGCATTTATCAGTAGTATATGAGAAAATAAGCATTAATTTTCCCTAGGAATCTTACTGTGGCCTTACTTTTAAAATAGGGATTTCGTCTTAAAATAGGGATTTTTAACACAGTTATTTTAGCAGTCCTGTGGAAGGGACTGTTTTATCATCCCTCCCTGGGACTGACGGGGGAGGACATGGTGGTGTTAGAGGAGGGAGTATATTTAGGAATCATTAAACACTTTAAAGATGAATGGAGGAGAGGATGCACATTTGTGAAGCACCTGCTTTCTGGAAGGTGTGATGAAGGCTCTGGGAGTGGAGTACAGAAGATGAGCTATAGACAGTCCCTTCCCACAGGGGTCTCACCTTCTGTCTGGTGGGGAGGGGGAGACATACTTGTAAGCAGCCAAGTGCTACATGCTTAGTGTACAAAGGGGTATTTCTCCTTCCCTCTGGTGATCTGGGATAAGATGAGAGGTGCCTGTCTGGAAGAGACTGCGTTCAGGCTAAGGAAAGCCTTGAATGCATTGGCCCACACCAGCACCATCCGGTTTCCAGTTCGAGACCACGTTTACCATCATTATTGTTTAGTGGGAGTGTCCATTATCTGTTGTGTTTCAGGCATCAGGCAGCTAAATACAAGTATATAAGTCTCCTGAAGGGTTTGCTCTGCAATAGCTTGTAGAACTTATATATTTTAGTACTGGCTTTTGTTTTTAGACCTGTAAGGTGAGATTCAGTAAATTGAAATCTCAAGTGATCAGGAAATACTGTGAAACAAGATGTTGTTTAGTTTAGTAAGGCCCCATTTACCTGGAGGTCAGCCTTTAGCGACTGTCATCTCCAAAGACCACAGCTACAATCCGGGAGAAAGCAAAGAAGAAAATCATAGAACTAAATCATGTGGTGTATTTCGTTGGAGTCATCGTCAGGCTCTTAGCCTAGGGCCATTACAGACTTGGATTTGTTTGTACCCATGAGTTATCTGATGGAAGAGTAGCTGGGGCTAGGGTTTGGGAGAGGTACTGCCATGGGTTAGCCAGACAGCGCAGCAAGGAGAGGTCTAAGGGAGCACAATGGGTTGGATGGAGCTGCTGATCCACATGATCCCAGGTTGTCCAAGAAAGCTGTCAGCGTGGTTAGTTAATTAAAGTGCAAGAGGATGTATGTGTTACATTTTTTAGACAGATTTACATAAAAATTTAAAGTTAAAAATGTCATCTGGAAAATTTATTGTTGTGAATGCCTCATTTCCTGTTGATGCCAGATGATTCAGATTTTGTTTTGGATAATAGTTTTGCCATTTATTAGTAGCTTTATGACCTTGGGCATGTTTCTTAACTTTTCTAAGCCTGTTTTCTTATGAGGCTTTTTCTATAAGTGGATTATAGGATACATCTTGGGGGTTCAAGTGAGGATTAAAACAGGTAATGAATAAAAAGGACCTTATGTAATATGTTCCAGCACGTGAGGCACTTCATCAACGGTAGGTGTTACTATTATTGTTTAATAGATGATTGGTTAAAATACACCATTGATCAGATCTTATATCAATCCACTTCTTACTCAACACATTCTTTATAAAAGGTCCTTGATCCACATCGCAACCTTGAGAAAAGCGTCAGATCCGTTATCAGTCATCACATTAGAATTGGGAAAATCAGAGCTCAAAGAGCTAAACTCTTCTGCCCAAGAAAGTGGACCATTATCAGCAGAGCCAGTACTTGAACCCCAAACTTCACTGTCACGTAAACCTGCTGTTCTGTGTTTACATGACAGTCAAACCATTTGGTCTTAAACGTCATTCTTTATGTCTTTTATTTTAAATATTTAGTTCACGCCAGAAAAGCTTTCTTTCAAGTATGTTATTGCTTTAATTTATGCCATAATTAGCTTGGAAATTGGGTAAATAATATATACCCAGGTAGACTGACTTCATCATAATGTCTACTAAAATGTATTCTACTTTTGCTCTTTCTACTTAAGTATAATACTCATAGCTAAAATCTTATAGTAATCTAAAGTCTATTCCTATAGATAGTAAATCTGAGACATCACATCTCTGTCATGGGAAAAGGAATACCAGCCATGTACAACTGGGAAAGTGGAGAGTAACTTAACACATAATGGGTAGTCATTGAGACTCAGTCATTGAGAAGAATTCAGTGAAACACGGGATATCTGAAGAAAGGTTCAGCTACAGTCATCCCACCTACCCGCAGTCTAATAGATAAGAATTCAGTTTAGAGGAGGAAGTAGAAATATTCTTTCTTACATCAACGTGAGGGTTTTAATAGGAGAGAAGATTTATACCTTTCCTCTGCTGGCCTGTGATTCTTAGAACAAGAGGAAGCAAAGGTTTTCCCATTGTCGAGAATTTTAGTTCTTTGTTGACTTGAGCTGCTTTCAAATCACAGCCCCACTTATTAGCGGCTCCAAGCTTTTATCCCCAGCTACTACATCCCTCAAGCTACCGCCTGGTAAATGTGAAGGGCTTAGTCTCAGTGTTCTGTTTCACATTCGTGGAATTTGAGTAACTAAATCTGCATGTGGCTTGCAGACAGCTTCTCCTCTCCCTTATTATAGTTGGCTGCGAAGCTCAAATAATAAACATTTAACAAGTGGAATGCCTTTTCCCTTTGGTCTTCTCAGCAGGCTTCACAAGGGACTACAGTTTATTTGGATTCAGGGGAACCAACTTCCACAGGGCTCAGTAGTGAGCCTTATGCAGGGCTGGTCACCCCCGTTGACTTTTCCCTTTTGGAAAAGAAGAGAAAATTATTTTAGCAAGTACTTTCTCTGCTCTCTGACTTGGCTCCCTCCAGGAGTACACGATGTGCTGTTTCAGTGGTCAGCAGTCAGTAAGGAAAGAAATGAGGGATGCATAATTTGTTAACTGAGCAAAATAAGTGTTCTGCTTAAAGTCAGTTCACCATGTCTCACAGCATGGGCAGATGCATTCAATACGTTTTATATTCTATTTCTTATATAAGTCTACTTCTATTATATTTACATATTCTGTTTCTATATAGATGGAAGTGGTTAAAATAGGTGAGATCTATATATATGCAGGCATATATTTACATACACTGAGATCTATATGTACACTGTGATACTATATATCACATATATGAACAGTATATCGATAAGTATGTAGCATATTGGAAGGAGCTCCTTTTATTATGTTAAAACTATATATGTTCTTAATTCTCTCTCTGTATGCGTGAGTATGTGTACATGTAGCATATATACTAATGTTTCATTTGGAATCATTTGAAGCTGAAAACAGTAAAAATTTTGACTCAGATACTATTTATTTATTTTTTAAGAAATAGATGTTAATATTTTAGATCAGTTTTAGATTTAAACAAAATTAGAATAATACAGTTTTTGTATACTCTGCACCCATTTTCCCCTATTAACATCCTACATCAGCACAGTACTTTGTTACAATTAATGAAATAATATTGAGCCGAAACTGGTTTGGCTCAGTGGATAGAGCGTCGGCCTGCGGACTGAAGGGTCCCGGGTTCGATTCCGGTCAAGGGCATGTACCTGGGTTGTGGGCACATCCCCAGTGGGGGATGTGCAGGAGGCAGCTGATCGATGTTTCTCTCTCATCGATGTTTCTAACTCTCTCTATCTCTCTCCCTTCCTCTCTGTGAAAAATCAATAAAATATATTAAAAAAAAAAGAAATAATATTGATATAGTATCATTGACTGATATATCCATGGTTGATTTAGATCAGTGATGACGAACCTATGACACGCGTGTCAGAGGTGACACGCGAACTCATTTTTTTGGTTGATTTTTCTTTGTTAAATGGCATTTAAATATATAAAATAAATATCAAAAATATAAATCTTTGTTTTACTATGGTTGCAAATATCAAAAAATTTCTATATGTGACACGGCACCAGAGTTAAGTTAGGGTTTTTCAAAATGCTGACACGCCGAGATCAAAAGGTTCGCCATCACTGATTTAGATGGTCTTTGTTTTTACTTGATGTCCCTTTTCTGTCCCAGGATCACATGACAGGGTACCACATTATATTTAGGAGTCATATTTCCTTAGTTCCTCTTGAATTTCCTTTTTTTGTTTTTTAAATTTTCATGGAAAAAACTTTATTATCTAAATAGGGAGCCATTACATTTTTTGTTCAGTTCTAAGATGCTCAGAGTAAACTTAATGTTTTTTTTTTAAATTTTGTTTTATTGCTTAAAGTATTACAAAGAGCATTACATATGGCTCCTTTTTTTTTTCCCCCTTGACCTTTCCCTGGCCTCCCCTACCCCCCAGTGTCTTGTGTCCATTGGTTATTGAATTTCCTTCTTTTTGATGACCGTGACAGTTCTGAGAAATACTGGTCAGCTATTTTCTAGGAAGCCCCTCTATTGGAATTTGCTGTTTATCTCACAATTATGTTTTTCCTTTGGGTTTTGTGGAGGAAGACCACAGCAACGAGGTTCCATTTTCTTAACATCATTTTAAGGGTACATGCTATCAATATTTATTTTTTAAAGTACCTTTCTCCTTTATTGTGGGGAAAAAAATAGAAAATACAGAGTGAGAAAACAAGAAAATTAAAAGCACTTATAATCTTACTTCAACTCCCATGAAGAAAACCTTTATTAACATTTTAGTATATAATGTCTTTTAAAAAAAAAATCTGTTTTTATTGATTTTAGAGAATGAGAGGAAGGGAGAGGGAGAGAGAAACATTGATGTGAGAGAGAAACCTAAATCGGTTGCCTCCCACATGCACTCCAACTTGGGATCAAACCTGAAACCTGGGCATGTGCCCTGACCGAGAATCCAACTGGTGACCTTTCAGTGCCTGGGACGATGCTCAACCAACTGAGCCACACGGCCAGGGCACATTTTTGTATATAATTTCCACATCGGTTTTGATGTTTCTAAGAGATAATATAATGTAGAATATAGTTTTATAATGTGCCTTAATACATTCTGAAATCTTTAGTCAGTAGATATTATTATATACTAGAGGCCGGGTGCACGAAATTCGTGCACGGGTAGGGTCCCTAGGCCTGGCCAGCAATCAGGGCCGATCTGTGGGGCGACCGGTGGGGTGATTGGGGGGCCCCCACTGGCACCCACCTTGGCCGGCCTGGTGCTGCCTGCTCCCTGGCCCTGCCCCCTGCCACCGCCGCCGGTCGACTCCCTCTGTGGGGTGATCGGGGGGGCCCCCACTGGCACCTGCCTTGGCTGGCCAGGGGCCTGAGGCCTGGGGGCAGCTCCTGCATTGAGCGTCTGTCCTGCTGGTGGTCAGTGCACTTCATAGTGACCGGTTGTTCCCCCGGTCATTCTGTTGTTTGGTCGATTTGTATATTAGGTTTTATTATCTAGGATATTTACTAATGGATATGTGGATGAGTGTAATATATTTTAGTTAGTGACACGCTGTTTAAAAAATTTGAAATTGTAAATAATACATTATTATTACAAGCATCCTTGTAGCCAAGTCTTTATTCACATCTTTGAGTATTTCCTTAAGATGTGGAGGAATATTCTTGCTAAAGGATTTGCACATTATGTGAGGCCTTTGATACATATTGCCAAGTAGCCCTGTAGTTTGCATTGTTTTCCACATCCTGACAGTACCTATTTCTATGTACCTAGCCAGTGTTGAAAGTTATCATTTTTCCTGTTTAAAATTTTGTTGGTGGTATTTTTTTAGTGTTTTTATAGTTTAGTTTACTTTTTAAACCTTTTAAAATTATGAAGTACAACACATAAAGAAAAGTGTGTGAAGCATAAACTTAATGATTTTAAAGTGAATATCCATGGAACCACTGCCCAGGTCTAGAAACTGCCCATAGTCCTCTTTCCAATCACAGCCTGGAGAGTAACTGCTATTTTGACTCTTATGGCAATCATTTTCTGTTTCTGTTTATTGTTGTTATCCTTTCAAGACCTAATATTCATACCTAAACACTATAGATTGGGTTTGCTTTCATACGAATGGAACTCATATAGTGTTTGTGCTTGTTTGTTTTCTTCTACAGTTTTGTTTATATATTTCACAAACCATAAAATTTACCAATTTTAAGAGTACAGTCTGGTTTTTAGTATAGTCACAGAGTTGTGCAACCATCACCATAACCGAATTTTAGAACATTTTAATATCCACCCCCCTAAAACCCTATACCAGTGATGGCGAACCTATGACACACGTGTCAGGTGACACGCGAACTCATTTTTTTGGTTGATTTTTCTTTGTTAAATGGCATTTAAATATATAAAATAAATATCAAAAATATAAATCTTTGTTTTACTATGGTTGCAAATGTCAAAAAATTTCTATATGTGACACGGCACCAGAGTTAGGTTAGGGTTTTTCAAAATGTTGACACGCCAAGCTCAAAAGGTTCGCCATCACTGCCCTATACCCATTACCAGTTATTTTCCATTACTCCTTCCTGCCCACACAGCTCTAGGCAACCATATTATCATTTTTTTTTGTCTCTGTAAGTCCAATTTGGATCTTTTTTATGTCTTTCATTTCTATCCTCATCATGTTTGATTTTTTTTCTACCTTCTTAAACATATGGTATATTTAATTAATTCTATTGCGTGTGTCATTTCTGGTTCATTTTCTATTGATTGATTTATCTCCTGGTTATTTTCTTTCCCGCTTATCTGCGTGCCTGGTAAATTTTGATTGGGTGCTGGACACTTAAAATTTTGTATTTTAGAAGTTGGATTTTACTGTATATTTTAAAACACTGTCATTTTTTTTTTCTGTGACACAGTTAAGTTACCTGGAATTCACTTTATCCTTTTGAGGCTATTTTATAGGTTTTGTGAGATTAGGTTTAGAGCAGCCTTTAATCTGGGGCTTATTTGGCCCCAGTACTCAGGCAATATTTGATGCTCTGAATTTGGAGGTCTTCCCACTATGGCTCATTGGAATGCAAATACTTCCCCTCTGTGCTTTTCCTGGTCTTGAGGTAACTTCCTGACATTCGTACATAGAGCTCTAGAGCTCTCTTTCTGTGTGGCTTTCTTTCCCTCCTCAAATTCTAGCCATTTTGTCCTCCCCAAACTGAGGTCTTTGCAACGCAGTGAGATTGCTGGGTCCTGTTTGGGTTTTCTCTCCCTGTGCTCCACCCTGGAGAATGCAGGCAGGAAGCGGTGGCAGCCGAGGGCTCCCCCGTTTTGCTCTTCTTTTTTCAGGGATCACCGTGCTATGCTGCCATTGCCTAACAACCGAAAATCATTGCTTCATATATTTTATTTGGTTTTCCAGTTTTTTAAGGTGGGAAGATAAATCTGGTTCTTTTAACCCATTAAGAGAAGGAGCAGAAATTCTCATTGCAGTTTTGAAATTTATTGAAACTAAAATTGGGATTACATGGCTTTTATTTTTCTTATTTTTTCCAGTTGTTCAGATATCCACTTAGACTTGTGTTTTAGTAAAAGGGATACAGAAATTGTAGATTAGGATGACTTGTGTTTACTGTTTTTTCCTCCTTTGTTTTGTTTTATTTCTCCCGAAGTCCTAAAGGACACACATATATGCATATACCTTGTGCAGCTTATCAAAAACAAAAGCACGTGCCCTATTGAAGTTCCTGTGGCTGACCTTGCAATGGGGCAGCAGGACTAAGCTTAGGAATGGTCCTCCTAGGAATAAATGTATTCCTGTATATGGGTTTGTAGCTAAAGTGGCCTTGTGTTTGACAAAGGTTAAAATTGCTTTTGAAATACTGGCATAGGATTGTATAGGTCACAACACATGGCCACCATTGCAGTTTGTAGCTTTTTAAAAAAAAAAATTAATAAAATTTAATATAACAACCATCTATCTAGTCATCAGAATAGTCAAATAATTGATACATTATTTAGAAAGTATTTTAGGGTTCCCCTTCAGTTTGTAGCTTTTAAGGAATAACCATGCTTGATCTGTTACTTGATTTAATTTTAAATATGGCAATTTCTTCATTAGCATGGTCCAGCAAGAAGACCCAGGTAAAGAGCTTTCCAACGATGAGGTGATCCTGAGGCTGAAAGCACAAGTGCAGCGTTTGCTGGGCAGCAACTCCGTGAAGCGCCGCCTGGTGTCTCAGCTGCAGAGTGACCTCAAAGGCTGTTGGAAGAAAATCGAAGACCTACAGCAAGGGCAGAAGGATGTAGAAAGCATCACGGTCGAGGTTCGTAGAGTTTGTAGAGCTAAAACGCCATTTTTAAAGAGCTCAGTAAAGAAAATGCTTACAATTTTCACAGTTAAGTTAAACCTTTGTCTTTCAGGGGTTCATTTGACTTTCTTAGAAGTAAAATTTAGAGAAGGGAATGCCACTTAAAGAAATACATTTTCTGGTTACTCTCGGCACCTAGTAAATGAGATGCCAATTAGATAAATTTTTTTTTTATCACAAATCCAAGGAAGCATCCATCCTATGTAACATGGTAGCTGCATTTCCTCAAGATTGGCTCATACCACCATGCACTAACATCTAGCTAAGTTCCCCACTTAGCATGGTGTCCATCACATTTCTCTGGCCCATATTTCTGTAATGAAAGTCATTCCATATAAGGAAATGAATTATGCAGTGATGGTGTTACAGGGGGAGAGGCACAGATGAGGAGGTAGCCCCCTTCAACTTATTGATCAACTAGACTACAGAGACAAAGGGAAAGGCTAAAACAGAAAAACAACATAGGCCACGACCACCATCACTGCCACACATGTGAAAGTGTACCTGTCTGACCAATGCCACCAGTAATTTCAATATAAAACAAAAAAAAGCATCAAGATACCTGAGCTCAGGTTCAGACTCAAAAACAGGTTCCTACTCTCCTAAATGTTAGGATACTTTATAGATGAGGAAGCTGGAGCAGTTTGTGACCCTTCTGAGGTGACAGAGTCAACCTTGAAGCACAATGAAATTAAAACACTCGAATGACAAATAGGTGAAGGTTATTTCCCCAAGGTCGTGCTCTCACGGAGATCTTTAGGGTTGCCCTCCATGGACAGCTGCCTTTTTCACATTTTACAAGTTCAAGCCCATGTGTACTCCCAATAGAAAACAAGGCGGAGAGACTTAGCAACTAACAGGAAAGGGAAGGAGGAAGATTAATGTAGATGGTGTATTCTTTTCCCCTCCTGGATGGAAAACTTTTTTTACTTCCTATGTTAGTACTGTTTTATCTCCTGATCCATTAAACTAGGAACTGTGTTCATTATAACAGTCCTATTAACACACAGTTTGCACGATGTTCTATGGTTCTAAATTTTTGTGGAAATTTAATTGGTTCTAATTTATTTTCTAGAAATCATAGTGTTCTTCCTGTTAAAGGCCTGCCCAGTCTGGTTCCCTCTTCCGAGTAACTGTATTTGATGAGGACAACATTGATTTCAGTGTTAACGACCACATGTGAAAGACCCCCTGCTCCGCAGCACATCCAGTGTCTGTAAATCAAGCTGTTTCGACTGTTTCCATATGTTTCTTAAAAAGGATGGGAGTGAAAGTTGGTGTCTCAAATTGTGTTAGATCAGAGTGAATTAGTTTACACTTTCTGGTGAGAGTATCCTAACATTTAGGAGAGTAGGAACCTGTTTTTGAGTCTGAACCTGAGCTCAGGTATCTTGATGCTTTTTTTTGTTTTATATTGAAATTACTGGTGGCATTGGTCAGACAGGTACACTTTCACATGTGTGGCAGTGATGGTGGTCGTGGCCTATGTTGTTTTTCTGTTTTAGCCTTTCCCTTTGTCTCTGTAGTCTAGTTGATCAATAAGTTGAAGGGGGCTACCTCCTCTTTGAATACTCCTTTTGTCCAGTTTCTCTTTTGCCATAGTCATTTCCTAGAGAGAGAGAGAGAGAGAGAGAGAGAGAGAGAGAGAGAGGAGAGAAAAAAAGAGAAAGAAAGAAAGGAAGAAAGAAAGAAAGTAAGGAAGAGAAACATCAATGTGAAAGAGAAACATCAATGAGTTGCCTCCTGTATGTGCCCTGACTGGGGATTGAACCCAAAACCTTTTGGTGTGTGGGTGGTATTCCAACTAACAGAGCCACCCGTTCAGGGCTGCATTTTGTGTGTGTGTGTTTGTTTTTTAAGTGTGACTTTAGCCCTTGCTGCTATGTCTGTTCTGCCTCAACTTACTATATAGGAAATTCTTATGAGTTGATAATTCTCTGCATATTTTCTCAGTAAATATTTGTTGAATTCATACAACATCTAGGATCTACTTCCTAGATGGGGGAATGGGAGAGGATACAGTAATTTAACCAGTGGGTGGTTTTTTTAAGTAAACTCTCAAGTTTAGTCATCTAATTAATGGGCACCTTCAAGTCTTGCCTTTGTCACTCATTTCCCACATCTTTTCTAATAGAGTTTTCTATTTAGTCTTTAAAGTCAGAAAGCAGGGTTGGGAGGCACATGGAGAAAGGACAAATCATTCAGTGTAAGCTTTTTTTTAAAAGGTGCTTTCTGCAAGGTCCTTGTGGGATTCAATGATAAAAGACACAATGGCCATTTCCTAAAGGAACTTTGAATCTAGAACAGCACTGTCCAAGGGAAATACAGTAGAGTCACATATGTAACTTAAAATCTAGTAGTGCCCTTAAAGTAAAAGTAATAAGTGAAGTTAATTTTATTAATATATTTTATTTAACCCAACATATACAAAATATTCTCAATATTAGTCAGCATAAAATTGTTATGAGGTGGTCTGCATTTTTTTGTGTCTGTGCTAAGTCCGTGAAAATTGTATTTTTGACTTAACTGCACATTTCAGTCTGGACCAGCCACCTGGCCAGGCTCCATAAGCACACATGGGTTAGTGGCTGCACATTCAGCAATCAGCTCTGCAGTGGATGGGCACCTATAACTGTGTAATAAGGGTGGTACTGGTCACAAAGTGCCAGGAGAAGGAATGACTACCTGGGCTTGGCGGGGGGTGGGAGGGGTGGGGGGTGGTAAGGCAGCCTAGCGAAGTCTTTGAGGAGGCCATGCTGGGTCTCTGTCCTGAAGGATAAATCGAGGAGAGCCAGGTGGGAAGGGACATTTCAGCCTGGAACAGAAGTAAATAAAAGAATGTAGCAAATAAGCTGGTGTAACTGGAGCGAGGAGGGCATGGGAATAGAATCCATATTGTGTAAGCTCAGTCTTTCTGAAATCTTTAATGAGGCCAAAACCATTTAGGTGTCTCATTGATTTCCAGAAAGAATGGTTATAGCTGGGATATAATGTTGAACTCCTTTGCTTGCTGTAGGGATGTTACGAGAAATAACACATCAATTTAAACTTGTGTGGATGTGTTTTTAAAGATAACTAGGCCATCAAAATTCTCTCCTTAAAGCTTTTGTAAGAATTAAGAAAGCCAGCAAAAATATTTATGTATGTAGTCTTTAAAATTTTTTTTAAATTTCTTGATTTGAGAGAGAGCGAGAGAGAGAGAGAGAGAAATATTAATTTGTTGTTCCACTTACTTATGCATTTATTGGTTGATTTTTGTATGTGCAGGGTGACACAATACCCCACATACGGGTATTGAACCCACAACCTTGGTGTATCAGGACAGTGCTCTAACCAACTGAGCCTACCTGGCCAGGGCTACGTATGCAGTCTTATTTGGCATTTTTTAAATGAACATTATAAAGGTATTGATATATTTATTGCATTATACATACCTTGTAGTACATTTTATGTTAGTTTATATCCCTCATACAGAACAAATTAATATTATGATAGAGAATCAGTATTTTGCTTTCAAATCATATGACTGTTTAAAGCGGTGTTGTTTTCTGGCATTCCTAGGATAACATGTGATGAAACTTAGGAGTCTGCCCATTCATAGCACTGTGTAATGATTGGGAATGGATCCGCTACTTTGCTGAACGTTCCAGTTGAAAACTGGGCTGTTAAGGTAGAATGTGGTCAAGACCTTAGGAAACCAGACTACTCACTAACAGTCAGGGTCTGCACCAGCACTTAACATTTTGTAAGCATAATAAGTAAAACATAGAGGCCTTTCTGTGCCTGACACTCAATAGAGACCGTTACCTCACCACATGTTGTGGTGAAAGCCATACTTTGATTCCAAGGTATTTGATAGACAGTGTCCGATAGCCAACCTAGAAGGTTACTCGTTAGAATCTTTTAGGAATTAGGAAGATAGTTCGAGAGTTGGTGTAATATTATAGTTCTTGTTTTCTTGAATATAATGTCTTCAGAATTCCACCTTTAGAAAGAGATTTTATTGTGCCATTTATGTGGTCCTTCTCTTTTTCAAGATGTTTGTAAGGGTTTTGTGCTGACAAGTACAGGTATCTAGGCCCTGTGTGCCTGCAGTGTGAAAATAGGTCAAAACTGAGTAATAGCTATGAAAGAATTTTTTTTTTAGTGTATCTGCATATTACTTCTATTTCTAGTAATAAAAACTTACCAGTGGGGAAGGAAGCACAAATGAATATCAAAACTTTAAAAAGTAGGGCCCAGCCTTGGCTGGGTAGCTTGGTTGGTTGAGCATCCTCCCCATACAACAAAAGGATGTGGGTTCAATTCCTGGTCAGGGCACATAACCCAGGTTGTGGGTTCATTCCCTGGTTTGGGTGCATTCAAGAGGCAACAGATCGATGTTTCTTTCTCACGTCGATGTTTCTCTCTCACAAATCAATAAAAAAATAAACGTATCTTGGGTGAGGGTAAAAAAAAAAAAAAGTGGAGGCCAGGTTAAAAAATTGAAAGCCATTCTCCTGAGACAGAGATCTTTTTAAGTGTCATTAGTATCCCCAAATCTGGAGAGAAGCTAACAGAATAAGCAGTCTTAGCTACTTTCTCTGCCAACTGGGGTAGAGAAATGGCTTCTGGGAAATGATGGCAAGTGAAAAGGGGAAAGTCAGCAACTGAGCAGCTTCCCTCTGAAAGTGAAGGCTCTGTGAATTGGAAGACTGAGCCAAAGCCTTGGTGTTTTATCACCCCACCTGGGAATGAGATATACATACTTTCCCCTCCCCAATGAGTAGAATGAAACTTGGTACATGATATATTTTTAAAAAATTTTGTTTTATTGCTTAAAGTATTACAAAGAGTATTATATATGTCTCCTTTTTTTTTTTTTTCTCCCCTGACCTTCCCCTGGTCTCCCATACCCCCCCAGTGTCTTGTGTCCATTGGTTATGCTTGTATGCATGCGTACAAGTCCTTCGGTTGATCTCTTACGCCCCCCTCCCCAACCTTCCCCGGCCTTCCCGCTGTAGTTTGACAGTCTGTTCGATGTTGCTCTGCCTCTGTATCTATTTTTGTTCATCAGTTTATAATGGTCTTAATTATCCATAAATGAGTGAGATCATGTGGTATTTTTCCTTCATTGACTGGCTTATTTCACTTAGCATAATGCTCTCCAGTTCCATCCATGCCATTGCAAATGGTAAGAATTCCTTCTTTTTTACAGCAGCATAGTATTCCATCATGTAGATGGGTACATGATATTTTTTAAGCATTGTGTAAGAGAGCTCAGAGTTCAGGTAAATACATAAACCAACAAGCCTAATAATGTAGGTTTTATTTTTTTTTCAACCTTTGTACCCCTCAGTGAATAAAAAAGTCATAAATAGCCTGGCTGGTGTGGCTCAGTTGGTTGAGCGTCATTCCATGCACCAGGAGGTCTCCAGTTCCATTCCCGGTCAGGGCACACGCCTGGGTTGCAGGCTCGATTGCCAGTGCAGGAGGCAGCCAATCGATGTTTTTTTCTCATCGATGTTTCTGTCTCTCCCTCTCCCTTCTTCTCTGAAATTACTTAAAGAATATCAGAAAAAGAACTCATAAAAATAAATACGGAAGACATTTAGATGGTGATAGGAAAACGTGCAGTCATGTAAAGAGACAAACTTGGGAAGATGTAAAACAAATGAACAATTAAGGAATGTAAGAGGTTCCACTCTGATGGCAATACAAGGAATGCCAATGGAAGCCATTGTTAGATACCCTTTCCCCCATCAAATACAACCATTATTTAAAGATAGTCACTGCCATTGGAGGTAAAGAGAGTTGGACAAAGTCATGAGAGTATACATTTGTACAAACTTTCTGGAAAAAATTTGCTAAAGCCTATCATAAGCCTTAAAAATTGTACCTATTTAGTAAAATATGTATCTATGAGTTAAAACTGGTTATATAAATAAATAAATGCTAAATTTAATGGATGAAAGTATGATGAAAAATAAAATATTTGCATAGTCTCGAAGTATCTCCTTATAAGGTACTTACTATTAATTGTAAGTAAAAAAGATAGTAACTTTTCAGTGAAGGTACTTGCAGACACTCCCTTCATCAATTGATCATCACCAGTGATGAGACGTATTGGTATCGTGTCTCCCCTGAAAAGCATGGGCATCATTGCTGTGGCATTCATGCCAAAAATGCATAACCTGAATTTACTAATGAAGTAACATCAGAAAAAAACAAAAATGGAGGGCCATGCTACAAAATAATTGGTTAGTACTCAAAAATATCAGGAGTTTGAAGGTCAGAGACTGAGGAGCTGTCCTAGACTGGAGGAGACCGATGAGATGTGACAACTACGTAAGTGCAGTGGGGGATCATAGATTGGATCCTGAGCCAGAAAAGGACATTAGAGGAAAATCAGAAAATTTTGTAGATTAGTTAATAGTATTGTGCCCTAGTCAATATCCTGGTTTTGATCATTGTACTGTGGTTATATTTGGGGACATGGTAAAAGGTATATGGAAATCATTTGTACTGTTTCTGCAATTTCTTTGTATGACATTATTTCAAAACTAGAGACCCGGTGCACGAAATTCTTGCACGTGTAGGGTCCCTAGGCCTGGCCAGTGATCAG